CGTGATAATTTAATGCACGCATGACACTAGCGCGCAAGAATTATTTGGATCATACTTTAATTAATACTTGAACAGTCATTGCTGCGGGGGAATTTCTTCATGAAAACTCGCCGATATCGAGGCTAAGAATGTAATGGTACAGCTTCTCTCTCTAATTTACTAGTGCACGATTCGTAAATCTGAGCCTTCTGTCGAAGCTTGGGATGTTCTGAAGACGTTCTGAGCTACGAAAATGTTTACAAGCGAGTGCAACTTCGATACAAAGAACGTTAATTTGTGAAGGAGACTGGTGCGAATCTTATGAATCATCTAATGAAGTGTGATGCACTGTTTCTAAAGGTTAAGGCTGCCGGTGTCAACATGGATGATACTAAACAGCTAGTTTTACATTTGGAAAGCTTATCATTCGAACTATATTGATACGGTGCTCATCATTGAGGCGCTCAGTAACGTGACGCTGTTGGACACAAGGGAATTCTCCGCCAAAAGTATGTCACTCTTCAGAAGAAAGACAAGAAGGAAAACGCTTTCAAGGTACATTCTCTACGCTAAGATTGTCGACGCTTTCAGGATAATCTAGAACACTTTTGAAAGGAAGAAAATCGAGATTACCACTAACCTTTCAGGGAGGAATGGCTGGTGTGAGTTTTCTAGGCAAGTGATTTGGATGTAAACGGCACGGACACAAAAAAACGCAATTTCGTCACTTAAAACCATCGGGACCTGGTAATGAATTTATTCTCTCGGCATTTAGTAAGAAATTAGAATCGGGTTCATTTCCTGGAAAATGGAGCAAGTAGTCATATGACTGGTGATAAGCGTAAATTTGTGGAGCACACAAATTTGTGAACTCCAAATCACATCACTGTGTCGAATAGACATCAGTCATTGGCACAAGGAACCAGTCCAGTAAAATTTATATAGAGAATGATCGCACAGTCAAGCTTACAGAGGTGTTACATGTGCCTGGGCTAGGCAATGAATTTGTTTACGTAGCAGCGTTGAAATCCCGAATAGTGGGTTCATATTTAGCTAGATCGAGAAGTCATGATGAGCGACAACTCGCCTGTAACAGTAATCAAACGAGTGGTAGATCTGATTGCGTTGAATATGAAACAACTTGTCACATTAGAGGCACACAAGGCTGCGAAAATTATTGCAATAACTGACACTAGTGAACTATGGCACGTTTTCTAGGTCATTTGTCAACAAAAAATGTCATACAAGCGATGGAGTACTTGCCTTGAAATTTTGATACTTTTGCATTTGATGGCGGTGTATGGACGTGCACGCAGGAATATGACAAGCAAGTTATTTAGTCGTACTTCAGAAAGTAAAGTTATAAGTCGACCACTTTTTTACACCAGTCTAATGGGATTTACGAATCTAAAATCGAAGGGTGGGTCTCTGCAGTTACTCACATTAATAAACGACTACAGTCATTTGTCTGCGTATATTTGATGGCAGCAAAGTTCAAGTTCTTAAACAATTTAACAAGTTTTTTGCTATGTTAAGTAGGTTCATTTCTACCCGGGGAAGTTTCATATGTTGTTCCTTAATTTCTCAGATACCCGCTATCAGTAACTTACAATCTTTTGCGACTCGGTGGCGTAGCTTTTGCACACTTGCTTTAACTTATCTACTGGCTGCGTCCCCTTTGGAACCTGTCAGTGGTGCGGTGAGATTCGTACAAAGGCGGGGCGCGCTGCAATCGCCGAAGCTTTAACCCGCACCTCCCGGTTGGAACAGACGTGGCGTAACTACTGCACCGCCCCGATCGTGCTATGTTTAAGACACTAGCGGGTTACAATCTTAAGTGCATTCGTAGTTATAATAGTGGGAAGTTTACGAATAATGAAATTAATTAGACTTTGCTGATGTAGGTACTATCCATCAAACCAGCGTGATGTATAATCCGAAAATAAACTGCTTAAAAGAGACGATGAATCGAGCTATTGTCGTGACGGCCCGCTAAATTTTGCATTATTTGAAATCTGATCGTTCTTGGTGGGATAGGGCAACCAATATGGCTGCCTACATCATTGATCGTATTTCGAACGCTGTGCGTCCCAACGCTAGTCCATTTAAAACGATGTATGGTAAAGTCCAGACTTAGGTAATTTTCGTACGTTGATTTGGCTGGATCTACAATTAGCGGATTGCAAGCAAACTAAATAAGACGTCAAGGCATACAAGTGCAATTTCTTTGGTATATGAAAACTACAAATGTGTATTGAGGGTGGTATCTGGCGAGAGAACCATTAGTCAAGGCTAGGTTTCTTACTTTAAATGAGCGACCTCCTTCGCAGTACAAAGATGTTGTTGTTCTATGTGACCTTAGTGCTCAATGCAAACATTTCATTATGAAACAGACGAAGTAAAGGTGCAGTACCTGATTCAAACAATAATCAAGAGGTTGAAGACATGGAAATTGAAGAGACTGCTGACAATGATACTCGCTGGAAAGACAAAATTTTTGCTGCTTCTAGGGATCTCAATCAGTCTACCAAATTCGACGATGTTTCGATCAAAGGGGAGTGTGCACATTCGACGATGTTTCGAATAAAGGGGAGTGTGCATTATAGGCGTTGACACAGTATACGCATATAGGCGTTGACACAACCATTCAATTGTTAGTCGCACTCTACACGAAAGGGATACTGGAAGTTTATTATGGTACAAATATGCTCTCAATTATATCTGATCAGTCGCGTGCTATCGGTGTGTGTGCGACAATTCCCGCCCCCATGTAACCGACTGGAGATGAACTCGGGGTCGAACAAAAGGCCTTATAGCAACTTCACGTCATCTCATTACTCACGAAATGATGGCTTTGACGATGAGAAGATTGACTAAACGCTTCTGGCTAATAAATTGACGGTGGACTGCGAACACGATGAGACGGAATCCAAACGTCAATGTTTTTATGGTTACGAGATTTTTCTTTCTGCTACTGATGCACGATGAATTTACGAGAGGCGCTGAGGTCAATGGAAGCACAAAAATGGAAAGCGGAAATTCAAGCAGAATTCAATGCTCATCTTAACAACCAAACATGGAAATCTAACTACCATCCTCCAGTCAGAAGTGGGTATTTGGGCCCTAGTACGATACAACGGTGTGTTGTTTGTCACTAAGCGCGTTTAATTTCCCTCGGATATCCGCGAACACATGGTTTTAGATACTTCGGCACATATTCACATATCGCATGATCACAAAAGATTTGTGGTTCTGTCTGTTTTCTGCAGCATGATAGATCCGGCAGTTTTATGTGAATACGGTGATTTTAAAATATTGATTTGGAAGAGTACGATTTTTATAGAGCCACCTCATGGTGATAAGATTGTACCTGGAATGGTGAGAAAATCAAGACGCAGTTTTTACGAGTACAAACAAGCGGCTGCGGTGTGGCACAAGAAATTACGCTCTGTGTTTTCAGCCATGGACTTCAAACGACATAGAGCAAACGCACGTCATTTCGTACGACGAAATTATGCAAAACTTTACCCACATCCATAGTCTTGTTTGTGGACAACCTCCTTTACAAAATGCAAGTCAGATGCAGAGACGGATCGATTTTTAAGATTATTCAGAGCGTTTTACTGCCAAGTCACTAAGTGATGCACATTTCATTTTGTGCATAAAAGTGTTTTCTAAAAGAAAAGAGAGAATATGTGTTAAAATAAATTCAACTTTATAATGAAATTGGTCATGAAGTTTAAGCTTAATGAAGCTTATGCAGTCAACAAACCTTATCAGCGCAGGACAGGACCTAATTTCGAATGCATTACAGCCATTGCTTAAGATCATCACCCTGTGTTGTAAATTTTTCGATTCTCTCTTGTTCATTGCGAAAGAGACGCACCAAAAAAAAGCCAACTGATCTCAGTATTATCACAGTACTTGGATCAGCCACGACAGATGCACTGGCGTACGGCTCTCCACGTTAAAAATTACCTTATAATAACACAATCGCACGGAATTACGTACGAGAGATTGGATGAAAAGGTGATACTTTAGGCATACTTAAAGAAATTTGAAGAAACAATCAGAAGTTTCGTCGACCTGCTTATGATGTGTTAGACTTAATCGGAGGTGCAGTTGTCGTCTACAAAAGAAAACGCCAAATTTCGGTGGCTCTATCCTCTGTTGAAGCGGGATGTATGGCACTAGCAATAGCTGCGCAAGAATTCACGTGAAATCGTTATCCGCTATAATAGATAGAATCCATATGCAAGACTCCGACTATAATCGACAAGGAACACTGGTCACTAGTTCTGCTTCAGTACTAGTGCACTAACACTAAAAACCGTGTAGGTAGTGCCGCGCGTCACTTCACGTACACTGTACGTGTAGAGGAAGGCTATCTAACGAAAGACGCGTTCAATATGAGCAGAAAGTAAATGAAACGGGCTAAATCGTTACATAACAATTTATTAGAAATTGTTAATAGAATATAACTAAAAGAGTTATATTCTCAGAATATTGTCACAAGGACAAATATTCTGTAGCACTTACGAGTAGTTCCTAATTGGTTGATATAGGCCATTCTATCAACCAACGAAGACGCGCCACGACGGACGCACGCAATGAGTGGTGAGCAGATAGTTGGTATGCACATTTGTATTCAAGCATAGTTAGATGAGGATAAACAGTGGTTTATTAACATACATTAACTATGATAAATACAGTTCTACTTTTTACTTAAACCAAGTACTCGCTTCTTCTTACCGTCTTCCTCTGCACGTACGAGTGTACGTGAAGTTCCGAGGCACCGCCTTATTCTGTTATCAGAATAAGTAGCTTGTACTGTCACCAGTACAAGCTTCAGGGTGCCCCGTTACACCTGGTAGCACTTCGTAGTCCGTCCAAGGACCACGTTCACATCTAACATGAATTTTTTGGATGATGACGATGACCAAAGCTTTTAGGCTACGCGTGACGGCTACTCCCATTTGAGCGATGTCGAATGGGATGCGGTTGAACGAATGGGTTCAACCATGGGCATCAATGCTGTTAGCGTCATGCTAGAGGCTCTCAATAGAGATGCCCAACATGCTACTATCGCCAAGTTCATTCAAAATGAACTTGACGCTGAACGCGAGAAAGTAGCCTTGCTTCACCAACAAGGTTCTCAACAAGCAGAGTTGTTGAGAGAACAGGGTGCCCAACAGTTTGAACTGTTGAGACAGCAGCAGGCTGCTGCTGGTGGGTCGATGCACTCGCGTCGACCGGAGACTTTGAAGATTGACATCTCCAAGTATAGGGGGGTCGAAGAAGACTCCCTCTTGAGATGGTTCGTCGAATATGACGACGCCATAAGGGCGCGTCGCATCAACGATGGGAATATGCAAGTTGCATTTGCCCAGTCAAATCTGTCAGGACGTGCCAAGACTTGGGCTTTGGGGCTCAAGTTGCACGACCCATATGCGTTTGGGTCGTTGGAAGTCTTCAAGTCGCGGCTTAGACAAACGTTTAAACCGCCTAGAGCTGAGTTCAGAGCTCGAACTGAGCTCTCGAAGCTCAAACAGGGTAAGCGTGATGTGCACGCTTACGCCCAACATATACGACATCTCACGAGTTGTATAAGTTCCAATCCGGTGGATGAACACACGTTGGTTTCGGTGTTCATGCAGGGTCTTGCGGATGGTCCCGTCAAGACTCACCTGTTCCGACTAGAACTAGATTCACTAGAACAAGCCATTTCCATTGCGGAACAGGAAGACTTCAGTCTGAGACGGGCTCGCGCCAGCTCGACATCATATCGTCAACCGAGACGATATGACAGCGGAGGTCCAGAGCCGATGGAACTCTGTTATTTAGAGAGCGAGAAGACTCGATCTACAGACTACAAGAAGTTGCAGAAATGCAACAGATGTCAAAAGACAGGACACTACGCTTACGAGTGTAGTGCCCCTCGTCCAGTGTCTCGCAACACTGGGCGTAGTGACCGTCCACCCATGATAAAGGGGGCAGGGACGCGGGTCCGCTGTTGGTGCAAAGACGCAACAACGGGATGGACCGTCAAAAAACGGACAGGATCAGTAGGTGCGGAGCACCCTACTGGTCCAGCAACGTCAAGAGAATTTGTAGGCCTCTTGATGAAGGTTGCTCCCAACACACAAACGTTGTGCGTTGCTGCTCTAGGTAATGAGATCTCACTCATTACCTTGAAACTCGAAGTGACGAATAAGTTGTCCCTTCGAGCTCTAGTCGATTGTGGAGCGTCCAACAATTTTGTGCGACGCCAATCGCTAGAAGATGGTCACTTTAAGTTCAGTGAATGTGACACACCTCCTACGAGGATGACGGTACGTCTTGCGACAGGCGCATCCGTAACCGTCATGAAGCGTATAGTGAAGATCCACTATACGCTAGAAGATACCCAATATGACGATGACTTTATCGTATTGGATTTGGATGACAAATTTGATGTCATCCTTCGGATACCGTAGCTCAGAAGGTACGAACCACGGGTAAACTGGCAACATCGAACAGTAACGATGCCTGCCGCTTGTTCATCAGATGGCCATCTGATGAACGTTTTGGAGCGTCCACAAGCGTGTGGATGTACTACGAGTGAGTGCGATGGCCTCACTTGTGGTACGGTCGTTAGTACGACTGCACAAAACCTTAGTGTACCAAACGGTTACACTTCGGAGCAAAGTTCCGGCGGCTGTGAGGAAACACAGGCTGCGCCGAAGGTCCACCACTCGAATAAGTCGGGTGGACTGGGACAAAGATGTATCCCTAGCGGGGAACATCTAGAAGAGAAACAATCGATCGCTCAGGTTAAGCGAAACGATAATCCTAGATCGACTGGAGAGTCTTTCGTAGAGGATCTCGCTGTGGTTGCGCAACCCCAGCTAGAGGAAGTAAAGGGAATAAGTCCCAAGATTACAAATACGGCGGAAATAAGTTCCCCGAAACCCGCGGGAATAAGTCCCCGGGAAGCCGAAGGAATAAGTCCTTCGAAGCCTGAGGGAATAAGTCCCCAGGAAATGACAGAGACATTGAATGTCCTAGTCAATGACGGATCAAGTGTAGGCGCTTATACACTTGATCTGATTACGCCTCCGAAGTTAACTTCGGAGATCACTCAGTTGCCAACGCTCGAACATAAAAGGTTCTTGCGTGATCTGCGTAGTGGCAAAGTCAAGCAGATCTGCGTACTCGTCGCTGACGACGAGTTTGTAGCCGACATAAGGTCAGCAACAGTGTTTACTGAGGACGAGAGAGTTCTCAGTAGTTCATCTATGGACGAGAGTGTCCTAGATGAAAAGACACGAATTGAGCGATATGACTCCCGATCGTGGGAATCGCTCAGGACAAATCCTCTCTATGAAGATTTGGTTGAATTTAAGGATGTATTCCCTGAAACTGTTCCGTGCGAATTACCGAAGGATAAGGGTATTCGACACGAGGTCGAGCTTAAACCAGGCTCGAAGTACTGTGTCATGAAGCAGTGGCCACTGCCTCGTGAACAAGTACTTGCGATCGACAAGTTCTTTGCCGATCGTTTAGCTGCGGGCCATGTGAGGTTATCGACTTCCCCACATAGCTCTCTGACCTTCTGTGTGCGAAAAGCAACTGGAGGGTGGCGGATTGTGCATGCATTTAACAAGTGAATGCTGCAACGGTACCGGCTCACACGCCGATACCGAGGAAGGACGTAATCATTGATGGTATGTCAAAGAGTACCATCTTTTCGTCCATGGATTTGATGGATGGCTTCTATCAAATCCTTATGCGAGAACGTGATATACCCTATACCACAGTTAGCACGCCTAGCGGCATGCTCTGGGAATGGCTAGTAATGCCACAAGGGCTTAGTAATGCCCCTGCCTCGTTCAATAGATGTGTATCACATCTGTTGAGACCAGTACGAGAATTCGCGCCGAGTTATTTCGATGACGTATTCATCCATTGTCGAGCTATGGATGGAATGTCGGACGTTGAGGTTCACAGGTACCACGTCCGACAGGTTCTTACAATCATGCGAAAGCATGATCAATTGTATGCAAACCTCAAGAAGTGTATATTTGCAGCAAGCGAAATACCACTTCTTGGGTGCATCGTTGGTAATAACGGTGTACGTCCTGATCCCGAAAAGATCAATGCGATCACCGACTGGCCTGAGCCGGTTGATGTCAAAGGTCTTCGAAAATTCCTTGTGCTAGTGGCGTATTTGCACAAGTATTCACGCAATTACGCCGAGATGACTGTACACCTCTCTCGTTTGTTGAAAAAGAACGAGAGGTGGTTATGGAACGCTGAATTTAAGCGCTCCTTTGATGGTATCAAGAAGAGCTTGATACAATCCCCAGTCCTAGCAATAGCCGATCAGGACAGGCCATTTCATGTGGTCTGTGATGCCAGCGATTTCGCAATCGGCTGTGCATTAATGCAGTACGATCTTGAAGGCGTTGAACGCGTTGTCTGCTATCAGTCGCGTCAACTGCAACCAGCTGAGCGGAACTATCCAGTGCATGACAAGGAACTACTTGCCATGAAGTATGCACTCGCGATGTTCAGAGTCTATCTATTAGGAGATAGACCCTTCATTGTTTACACTGACCATGCGTCATTACGCACGGCAGTGAACAGCTCGCACCTTTCACAACGAATGGCGCGGTGGTTGTCATTCTTTGCAGAATACAACTTTACGGTCGAGTACAAACCAGGACGACTTAATGTCGTTGCTGATGCACTCTCACGTCGTCCCGACTTTGAATCAGTCGTGAAAATCAACAGTGAGACAGTCACTGTTGCGGTTATGACGTCCTCAGTCCCATCTACAACTTTGTATGATGATGTGAGGCGGGCATACGCCCAAGATGGTGAGATTGTGAAGTTGTTGACACATCTCTCACAACCATCTCGAGAATCGTTGAAACGATTATCGTCTGCGTATCGATCTGCATCAGATCGATACACTACTCGCAACGGTTTACTGCATTATACAGCCGTTACTGGTGACACACCACGTGTTGTCATTCCAGATGATACTGATCTGCGTTTGCGGATCATGTTCGAGTATCACGATGCTCCTATAGGAGGACATCGTGGCCGGGAGAAAACATATCTCACGGTGAGTCGAGACTTTTACTGGCCCCGCCAGTATCAGTTTGTGCGAAAGTATGTTCGCGCATGCGAAGTCTGTCAACGAGTGAAGTCAAGTCCTTCACTGCGTGCACCTTTACAGCCTCTACCGGTTCCGGCTGAGTGCTGGGAATCCATCTCAATGGATTTCGTCTTCGGGTTACCCAAAGACGCACGCGGGAATACGGGTATCCTCGTATTTGTTGACAGATTCAGCAAAATGGTACACCGTGTGGCTGTACCAGATTCAATCACGGCAAGCGGCTGTGCTTGTGTCTTTATTGACACCATCTTCCGACTTCATGGGTTGCCCCGTGAACTCGTATCAGACAGAGATCCACGATTCACTGCTGATTTCTGGCGTTCCGTGTTCAAATCACTCGGAACGCGCTTGAAGATGTCGACATCTGATCATCCAGAGTCAGATGGTCAGACGGAACGTGCCAATCGTGTCCTTGAAGAGATATAATCGAGGATACGTAGACTCCATTAAGAGTTGGAGTGAGTTGTTGCCAATGGTAGAGTTTGCCATTAACAACTCGGTGCATGCGTCCACGACACATACACCGTTTTACGTGAATGGCTTACGCCATCCGCGTGTACCCGCCTTACTAGAGTGTAACTCTGGTTTAAGGGGGGGAGGGACTCGCGCGAGCAAAAACCGATTTGGTTCACGCTCATCACGCTCTGACGAAGAGGTCATTGCGTTTGATGCCGATATCGATAACATCGATATCGAAGAAGATGATGCCAGTGAGAGTGCGGAAGCCCTCACTGAAGAAAAGGTTGTTGTCGCTGCAGTGCGCTCACAGCGCACTGAAGCTAACGAGTCATCAGATGAGTTCATACTGGCTCGTGAAACGGTAGTCCGTTTTGTGCAAGACTCCATCGCCGAAGCGGTGGATAAGCAAAAGCAAAACGCTGACAAGAATGGAAGGGCAAACACTCTTTTATTTAATAAAGGTGACTTAGTCCTACTGTCTACGGTTAATCTACCAAAGCATGTAGTGACTAACTTGGGTAGCAGTAAACTACTACCCAAGTACATCGGCCCATTTCGTGTATTGCACCGCCTAGGCAACGCATAAACGATCGAGTTGCCACGTAAGATGCGAACGCATCCCACGTTTTACGTTGGTCGGCTTAAGCCGTCCCATCAGTACGCTGTTTCTTCCGATGAAGTACGCCCTTGCGCTCAAGCATCTCGCAGAGAGCCTTGTGCTCCCGATGGTGGGCATCGACAAGGGTCTGAAGAGCAGTTATCTCTCCCGAGACCGATCAACAGTCCCACGAGTTACCCTTAGCTCGTCACGAAGAGATGTCAGAGCTCTCTCGTTCTCAAGCTGAGCAAAGACAAACTCAGCTCGATGCTTCGAGGCAGTGTCCGCCATTTGGAGACGCCTGTCCCGCTCATGTTCGAGATCGTCGCGTAACCCTTGCGTTACGCGATAAAAGAAGCTCTCGGGAACACACGCTTCCTCACGATTGTGTGGACAGCGTCTTCCCTCCTCCTCCACCTCCATTAGAGGACTCTCGCGGTGGCCAGCGCTATCTGGTTGAGCAGCTGTTGAACCACCGCGATGTGAACGGACGTCGGACGAGTTATCTCGTCCGGTGGCGCGGTTATCCCCCGTCCTGGGATTCTTGGGAGCCCCGCTCCCAACTGATGATCGACGTACTGGGTCTGGTTGAGCAGTACGACGCGGCACATCCTGTGCCGCAGAAGGAACGCTGGAGAAAGTCTTCCCGGTACGGTCGTAAAGGGATTTCAGGTTGTCAATCCCGTTGTACATCTCACTAGAGATACGTACGCGCCACCACGGGCTATTAAGTAGGTAAGCCTCCTTAGGTGCGCGCGCAGAGTTGTTCACACAACAAGGGCACGGGTCTACCCAGGAAAGACAGGGTAACCCACCCTCCTTTGACAGACTATGCAGCTTGTAGCGTGCACCTGTCGGGGTTCTTTTCTCAAACTTATCACGAGCTTTGATAAGTTTGTCGTGCCAAGCGTCACGACCTACATCCTCAAGGTTATGGATGTAGGCGTTCCACGCTTGAAACAGTGAGGGGCCATCACGTTTGTGATTCCCACTGTACCATCGATGTTTAAAGAAAGCACCGATGAAGAAATCATTCTCAGCGCGGTATCCTTTCGCACTAGTGTCAAAGTGATGGATCCTTGACGAATCGAACAATCGTGTTCGATAACGATCACTCGTCGTCGCCGACAAGTGATTTATGACGGATTTGGGAGGCATTTCATGCCTTTTTCTCTGGAGCGAGACGCAACACACTGCGGTCCCGCTCTTCTTGCGACGTGCCGACAGAAGGACTGGCACCTCGTTGCGAAGTGGTGTCCATAGGAGAACCGACACCACTGTGAGCGCCCGAGTCTTGCGATCTCGAGCGCCTTTGCTTCGGCGATGGTTCATCTGATTCATCAGATGAACCAAACATGGTACGACGCGTAGCATCATCCATGCCACGCTTTGCAGGCGGCTTGGATTCGATCGCCGTCGATACGGATCCGTCTTCCGTATAAGGAGAGCATGAGACACCGAGCTCATACTCTGTGAAGACATGAGTGTCTTCATGACGAGCGTCTGCATCACCAGGTGACGCGGGCTGAGACGCTTTAGCAACCGATGAGACATCGCTTGCAGCGGTTTATGCTTCGGCGTCTGCACAGAGACGTGCAGACGCGGTCTCAGCGGCCTTGCTCGCGCACCGCATGGGCTTGTTAACCATACGATGAATTGTTGGGAAGTGGAATCGGACCAACAAGTGCAAACCCTGTCCCAGAAGATTTGGGACGAGTATCTATTTAGTCAATCAGTCACTAAAGTGACTGATAGTTAAGGGGGGATGTAACGGGGTGAATCGTTACATAACAATTTATTAGAAATTGTTAATAGAATATAACTAAAAGAGTTATATTCTCATATTATTGTCATAAGGACAAATATTCTGTAGCACTTACGAGTAGTTCCTAATTGGTTGATACAGGCCATTCTATCAACCAACGAAGACGCGCCACGACGGACGCACGCAATGAGTGGTGAGCAGATAGTTGGTATGTACATTTGTATTCAAGCATAGTTAGATGAGGATAAACAGTGGTTTATTAACAGACATTAACTATGATAAATACAGTTCTACTTTTTACTTAAACCAAGTACTCGCTTCTTCTTACCGTCTTCCTCTGCACGTACTAGTGTACGTGAAGTTCCGAGGCATCGCCTTATTCTGTCATCAGAAAAAGTAGCTTGTACTGTCACCAGTACAAGCTTCAGGGTGCCCCGTTACTGTAAAACCGTATTAAATGTAAATTAAGTCGAAATTACTCTTACCCAAGTTTGGTCCTAACTTTATTATATATCTCTACAAAAGTGTGTGCTAAAGTCTTGCTCACCACTCATTGCGCGCGTCCATCGTTGTTTGGACCGCTGGATCTGGCTAACATCATTGCCCATATCAGCCAATCGGCGAGTGTTTTTACATTACTCCTTACAGTAATATTCACGAACATCATTAACCTTTATGATCATATTCTAGTTAACAAGCATCAGAGTTAGTTACACGTAACAGACTCACCCCCGTTACAAGAATGCTTATGGAAAACAAGCCGGCGACAAGTATTGCGACGAATAAGTGATATACATAAAGAGCTGAGCAAATTAATATCGAGGTGCATTTCGGTCGAGACCGCATTGAGCTAATAAAATAAGTTCCGTTAGCTATTCAACTTGCGGATAACCTGACGAATGGACTTGGTGCTCTGCAATTGATGCGACTACGCGATGAAAGAGGAACTTGCGAGAGTGCACGTTGAAGGGGAGTGCAGTGGATCATGATTTACAACTGTGATGGCGTGAACAGTTATTGCTAAATGGTCACTACACTGGCAAAAGAATTAACGCCTAAAGATACACCGTTGAATGAAGTAGTACGACAGTTAAGGATGAGTTGTCGAATTCATGTCTGTTATTTTTCATCAGGAGCACATGGCTGTCATTTATGAAGGCTAGCATTCCCGAATATACTTAGCCAACATCAAGCTAATCCTATTCTCAGCTCCACATCGAGTAGCCCCTCCAACGAAGATCCTACTTAGCGGGAGTCGAAAGGATGACGCGTCGTCACGGGTGCATAGGGCAGCGAAGCACTAAGAGATGCAAATACAGGCACGCACCGGCTGGGTTGAGATGGGTTTCTGACAAGTCCAACACCATGCTTCTCTGTACTTTTCCCGATCTGGACGACCACCACGACAAGCTTGGAAGACAGCACTTAGTTCCTGGTACGGACATTTTTGGATATCATCTACATCAACTTGTGAATAGTCGGCTTCTCAGAACAACAAAAACCATTGGAGCTAGCGATCAGCTGAGACCTGTTCAGCGCGGGTCTCCACATCCCGTGAACTCTCGTGATCTACAGTTATGTTGTGATACATTGTTTGTGACTTTGAGTGCCACGTCACAAACTCGCCGATTATTGCGCATCTGTACGTAACCATGTAAATACTCTACGATACTAACTTCTGTCGCAATATTGATACGCTCACTTTATTGTAAAGTTGCGGAGTAAAAAAGAATTATGCTACATTGTACTATCATTTTTGTTGAGCGGCTCTAAAAATACACGAAGCACCTATTATGAACGGAAAATCTATACAGGACCATTGTACCAGCAATACTCGGGCAGTCGAAGTGGCTGACGCGGGGTCATGGTGATGGCAGTCGAACACTGCGATGGTGCAGGACGTAAAAACGGAGCACCCGACTCATTAGCATTCAAGAACTTGCTGATCAACGAACACCAGGATGAAGGCCACTTTTGCTCGAGCGCAGAAAATTCGCGGGAACCTCGCAGCCGTGGGCCAGCCAAAGGTGCCAGTGCCGATACCTATAGGACCAAGCGACAAGAGAAGTTTTATTTGGGTTTCCTCGCGTGATGCAGAGATTTATCCTTTGGTGTTCTGTGTGGGTCTTGGCGTATCGGTTGCCGTTTTTAGCGGTGTTCGCTACCTGACATCCGATCCCGACGTCAATGTCAGCCGTGAACGGCGCGAGACACCAGCATGGGAACGCTATGAGCCCGAGGAAGGTAAGACATTTTCGCGGAACCGCCACAACTTCGCCAATCTCCAGCCGAATCCGATCAACACGTTCACTGAGTCAGCTACACACTATGATGGGACTGATGAGGCCGTGTCGAAACATCGTTAGAGAGGACAAAGCTGTGGACTGTGTGTAGTCGCAGCGGAGCACAAGGAGCAGTAGCACGCATTCGCATGGTCGTAGCATGCAGTGGACGCGTGTTAAAGCGAGTGTGCTTTATCTTGTATGCGATCGTATTCGGTATCGCTGGACAGCGGCTACGGCATCCTTTTCACACATGAAGAAATTAATACAGAAAAGGAGACCACATCATCACCGAATCAATGTCGAACTTTCACATGCGTATTCTCTCTATAATAAAAATGACCGCTTCTCTTTACGCTATCGCTCGTCGTCCAACAGTCGTTCAACACAGTGGCGTAAAGGCGACACCTGCAACACCTTCGAGTCGAGTAGGCGTACCTTACCAGCCAAAAGTCAAACGCTTGAGACAAGATGTCAGGGTTACTGCTACGGACTGAAAACAGGTGTATAGATGCGATCGAGTCGAACCAATAACTCGGCAATTCACCCGCTGTCGTCTCGGATAAACCGAGATCTTGTTCGGCATGATGAAGTCCATTCTAATCTTCTTCTATGCGACGTAACAGACGATGTCGAATGTTCTACAAGCACACTTTACGAAAACTGGATGTCGCGTAATGTCAGCTGTATTGCTATAAATTCGCGAGACTCTCCGTGACTGCTTCGTACAGTCTCCCGTCGCTTTAAAAATGTTCTGAAAAAGGCTCATCAGTCCTCTCCTGGAGCGTTGCGGACTCGGAAAATTGGTTGACCGGATTGGGCTTGAGATTGGCGAAATGGTGGCGGTCCCGCGAGTAAGTTTTTCCTTCCTCGGGCTCGTACCGCTCCCACGCTGGTGCCTCACGTCGATCACGGCTCAGATTGACGTCGGGATTAAATGATCGATGGCGAACACCACTGAAGACAGCAATCGTCATGCCAACAGCTACACAGAGCACCAAAGGATAGATTTCAATGTCGCGCGAAGAAACCCAAAAAAAGCTTCGCTTGTCTCTCGGTCCCGCCGGCACTGGCACCGGCACCTTCGGCTGTTCCACACCAGCGGAACTCCTGTGAAGCTTCTGCATCCGAGTAAAGGTGGCCTTCATCCCGTTATTCTTAACTGGTACGTTCAAGAATGTCGCGTTATGGGCCGCACCACGTCCACGTCCCGTAGCATCGCAGCGTCGCCCTATATCAGCTTTCACATGCTCGAGTGATTTCGTAGAAAGTCTCTATTTTGTCAACCGTCGGATCCTATAGATCGTTTTCTTCTGATCCCCTACAAAGGTATGTTTGTTTTGGCAGCGCATGACATGGTGCTGTCCGTCATGATCACATCAATATTTGGCTGTCAAAATGTCCAACCCGCAATTATATTACTACGACATTTTGGTCGTGCCGAAGAGAGTTCAAGATCATTTCAAGTACTCTGTTTTGGTCCTGCTTCTTCATAATATCGATGGTAAATGTTATCGGTCGGATAAAGAAGTCTATGACTGAATTTACTAAGATTCTGATTGACTCGAGTCAGCGCGACATCGCATTAATGATGACTGATTGATAAGCGTTGTATTGTAATTTGATGGATGCCTAGCCTACACTGACCACCTTCATTTCATTTCCACATAACGACTTTATGCTCCCACTTCTCAGTTCTCTTCCCAACTTGCATTAGCCCTTAGTAACGGTGTACATTCCCACAGAACTCGCCGTTAGGAGTCAAATGTCGCATGAAAATACCGATTATTTGTACTGGCGAGGGTCATGCATAGGGGGAGTACCGTGTGAGCTGTCCTTACCATAATTTTTTTGGCAGGTGATTCAACTTGGAGGTTCCGCAGGGTGGTTTTAATTGGCACAGAAAATGGTCTGACATGTAGAGACGATATGTGAGATGGCTGCATGGCCTGCAGAGGAGAACGCATTCGTCATTTATGCAATTTAAAATGTAAGAACTCCATCTGCTATCAGGCCAAACGAAAATGTATCGCAAAGAATTCCAGCGATTGAAAGTGTGAGCGATTACCACGATGATGTTGCTTACCTATCGCACCGTAACAGAGATGGTGTAGTGCGGAGGTATTGTGTTGAGGCTTCTCAAAGCTAAAAATAAAGTTTAAATGAAACCCGCACGTTGATGAGGACAAAAAGCGGGAGGCCACGCACCTCACTTATCTCTAATGCACACGACACTAAAGGGAACAGCTGTCAAAAGTGTATTATAGCAACCACTGGTCACAGTTTCGCTAAATAGCAAAATCTTCGGAA